TAAATTAAGTGACTATTTTGTTGTAGGACACTTTTCTTTGTAGATTTACACACTTTTTAAAACAATTTTGAGTTTGTGGGAAAGAATTTTTCTGCCCCCACCCTCAGTTCGCATTCTGTAACTTAATAAAGAAGTAGAAATTTCTTGTTCTTCATTACTGAATATTTGTTTCAACCAACATATGAAGCTATACTAAGCTGCTACTAATCTTCAAGTTATTTTATGAAATAATCACTTCTGATAGTTTTGTGATTTCATACACATTTTGAAGTTTCATGATGATAGGAGTAAAACATACACTTGATAAAGTTCTTGTTTCTCAGCATCTGTAAATTTCCATCTCTATGTATTTCGAGGCCGTGGGCTTCAGCAGTGCTCCAGATAATACAAATCATTTATGCAAATACGAAAGTATGTTCACTTATGCACGTCTAGAGATGTGTAAGTAGACAGCAAAGCATACTCAAAATAAAATCCCTACTGAGCGATGAAAGCACTGGAGTCAAGTTTATGAAAACATTGGTGCTCTTGAAGCAGAAATTCATTTTATTTCCACTTAGCATTGAACTAGCATATTTCTGATTATTAATCATAACAACTATTCTAGTTTATTTTTACTGCAGTTAGGGTAAAGTGAGGGAATTAGATCTGTATTTGTTTTGCTTTGTTGGAGATGTCATATCTGTAACCTATGTGGCAACGCAAAGAAATGTCCCTGCTTTGCATGTACTTTCAGAACAGTATTGAGATTTTTTTCAAATTTTAATTTGGTCAGATAGAAAAATACCATACTGCAAAGCTTTCCAACTAATCAACCAAAGCACAAAAGGTGAAGACGTGTGAAGTATTGATTTTCCTTGTCCTCAGGTGGTCTTGCAGAGCCTGGGGAACATGGAAATCGCCATGTTTGTCAAAGCCAAAAAAATCCTCAACTACTTATGCCAGCCTGCCCACAAATATTATTTCAAAGTACTATATTATGAAAAGTCCCAGAATGCAATGCTGCCAAGTACAGAGAAGGCTTGCTTGATTTGCACCATAAATGTAGATTTGTATCTATTCACTACTTAACTTTCAGATATGAGGTAGACAGTTAATATTTCAAAGTATGCCCTTAGACTGAGAAAACTCGAATTTGGCTAGCACCACAGTATCTGATTTTCCTTAGTAGAGTGCAATGAAGCATATCTGAAAAATAAAGCGTTTACTTAATAAGTCAATGAATAAAAGACTAAAAATAGTTTTAAAGCTATTAAAATAAATTGTGGCTAAAACACCCAAAAGCGTAGTATTATAAATTTACACACACAACCCTACAATTTCCATGTAGCACCATCTGAATCAGGCCCACATGGGACATTTTACTCTTTACTGAAGTCTTTTTTTTAATCCAATAAGTTGATATAATTTTCTCACATTGGCTTTTCATTTCTGTTGCCAGATTTAACAGTAGACTCTCTTTTTCATACCTTTCGATCATATAGAAACAGTTTTTATCAGGACCAGTGGATGGCGTAATGGTTATGTTCTTGGACCCTCATGTCGTCAACTGTAGTTGGAGTCCTGGTCCAGCAGCTTCAAACTCATGCTGGGTGCATGTGTGTGCCCAAGATCCCGGGAGGAGAAGAGATTATGATGTGGCCATTCCCCCTGGGAGATGATTTCTCATTTTTTGTCTCTATCTCGCTCTGCCATTCAGATGAATATACATGCCCTATGACAAAAATCTCTCTCAAAAATTTTTTTAATTAGAAAAAAACTCATGTTTTTCACTACTGCATAAGTTATTACAAATATAATGGCTACTAAAAACAACTATATGGACATGCAGGTGGAAAGTAATAGTCAAATTTCGGTCCATGCAACCTTAACTGATTTCTGTTCATCATTTTGGTGTTGTGGAAGTGAAAACTATGCCTCAACAATTTCAAAGTGTTTACCCCAGGTTTGCTAAAACATACAAATGTTAAATCTTCCTATGTAATCTATCGGATGCACTGAATGGTCTCTAAGGGTAATACTGTTCTTTATACACAAGAGAAGGCAGTAATACTATCGGCTTAATTGCTTGGAGATTTAACTGTTGAAGCTATGGGAAAAAGCTGTGTTTGGAAAGAGGAATTAAAAATTGTTTTCTTTTATATATGCTACTGAATCCACTAATGGGGTAATCAAATGAAGTGTCCTCTAGGGATGAAATGAAAGAACATTCCATATGCCAATCTGTTTATCTCCTCGGCCTCCCTTTGATCACATTCTACCCTTTTCTGTCTGTAGACTTGGTTTGCATGGAGGTCAAACACACACACACACACACACAAAACACACACACACACACACACACACACACATATATATATATATTTATTTTTTATATATACACACACACATATGTACCTTTATATTATATATATGTATGTATATGTGTATGTGTGTGTGTATATATATGTATGTGTTTGTGTCTGTGTATATATGTATGTGTGTGTGTTTGCCCTGGCAGGAGGCAAAACCTTGATCCAATGATTGGACTGTTATTAGTCATATCTGCTTTCACAGTGTCTCTTTAGACACAATACAAAAGAAAGTTTTTTAACTGATCTTGTTTACAGAAGAAAAAAAAAAGTCTACATAGGTTAGGTCAACATCATTAATAAAGGTGGGTGTCTTTCATTCACATGAAAACAAAACTGTCAAGGATTTCCCATTATTGCTTACTTGATGTATTTTCCAAAAAGGAAAGTCAACACATAAGGCTTATACTTAAGCAGATCTTAAATAAAAAGATGTGCACAAATCAGACCATAAAATTTGGAAGTTTGGGGACCAGCAGATGGCGTAATGGCTACATCACTGGACTTCCGTGTAGTTGACTGTGGTTCGAGTCTCGGACCCGGTGGCTTAAACTCAGGTGCGGGAGGAGAGGAGATTGTGGCTTGGCCATCCTCTCTAGAGGGTGATTTCACGCTTCCTGTCTTTCTGTTTCTCTGTCTGTCTTTCTGGCAAGTGCATGCGCCCTATAGCAAGACCCTCTCAAAAAAAAAAAAAAAAAAGAAGTTTTTCTACCTGTTTATGATTTCGGGAAAGTTTTCCCTTTTTATGTATGTGCAATTGTCAATAACTCTTCATTATTTACTTTTAGGATTTCTCTACCATCATATACAATCCCACTCCTACTAAAGTAGTTAATTTATAAAATATTTGTGTGCTTAAAATCCATGAAAGACTTCTTAAAAATATGTCTAACTAAAAAATTTAAAAACCCTGTTTTAGAAATGCACTTTAAGTTTCAATTACTTTTTTTTCTTTATTCAATAATAAATGGTGTGCACATGCATGAGAGAGGGGGATAGCCTGTGTCTGTTCATGCTGCCACCCACTTCGAGCTTTCCCACCCGTGCGTTTTGAGCTCTCATTTAAGTACCCGATCAGGCAGGGAGTTCGAATCTTGGTCAACTTGTGAGCCCTGGCTTCTCCTGAGTGTCACATCACTGCTGTGCCACAGAGCCGGACTGTTTTGTTATTTTTAACAAGCCAGGCACAGGAATGTGTTTATGATCAAAGTCGGAGTACCCTATACCGAGTAGTAAAACTAGCTGCTACTTATGATTTACTCAGTGAGTTAGGAATTTTGCAGACATTAGTGGTCAGCTTCCTAATACACTTCCCAGATGAGAATTACTTTCCTAATTTATGAGAGAGGTGACCAGGATTCGGAGACCTTGTTAACACAACCACAAGTGATTCAGTCTCAGCTAACGGAGCAGAGATGAGAAACCAGGTACTTGTGACCTCAAAGCCTACAGTTCGTTTTTTCCCATCATGTTTGTACAACTGCCAATTTTGTATCATTTTTGGAGCCAAAAAAATTGTATCTTCCAGAGGTCCCAGTGTCTCATTTGTGACTGTATCAGAAAACAAAACAGGTCTGTTCTCTATTTTTCTGCCCCCGGTATGCACCACAAAACTAACCGGGAGTTTGCCAGACAGATTGCTAGCTGGCAGCACAGAAAGCATGAGTAATTCTTTGCTCTGAACAGGGTCAATGAGTTCTACCAACTAAACGGGGTTTGATCTATTCCTCCCATCATCTCAGGGTCATGTTGCCTGTGCGTTTTTACCCTTATGCAGTGAGAGTAGAGGAGGGAGCGCTTTCTCATCTCACTCACCAAAACCAGCCATCGTAACACTCAGTCTATTTACCTTCCAACCCGAGATCCACAAACCTGGTGCTGTTTACTAAAAAATGTTCACAAATAGGTCTGGCCGCTGCAGTGACTGCTGAAAGCTGCTGCTAGACAGGTTGGGGCCATATGGAAGGTGCAGGTTCAGTTCCTGGTCAACCCTAAAAAGCTGGGCAATGCTTAAAGTGTTAGCCACTGGGGAGGATAAGGCAGGGCAATTGCGACATAGTGAGACACTATCTAAAACAAGCTACCTCGTATGTGTGCACACCCATACACACCTCAGTGTTTGTAAATAAACATTATTGGAGGCCAGCAGGTGGCACAGAGTTAAAGGCAGCTGGATCCTGTATGACTGACGAAGTGGTTAGAGTCCCAGACCAGGCAGTTTGCAAAATACACTGGGCATGTGTGTGTGTGCCCAAAATCCAGAGAGGAGAATGGAGGAGAAAGAATGGCAACATGGCCATCCTTACTAGGGGAGATTTTTCACTTTCCCTCTCTCTGACTTTCTCTCTCTGTTTCTCTCCAGTGAGTATATGTGTCTTACAGCAAACAAAAGCAAAAATCAAAAGCAGAAAAACAAACAAATTATTGGAATAAGAGAAAGGGATACCAACAAGTCTGACATCTTCCTCTTCTTTGCCCATTCTTTCTTAATTTGGGACACAAGAGATTTACTGAGCACCTGCTGTCACTGCTATCACTTTGCTAAGTGGTACGGGCGATAAACAGAGTACCAGGAAGAATAAAGGCTAAAAACTGTTTAAGTTGCATGGGTTGTGAAATGTACTATAGTGGAGAAAAAATATCATTGGCGATTCAAGATGACAGTTGCTTTACTTGATCTGATTATTACACACTGCATGCATGCTTTACAAAAACACCCTGGGCCCCACAAAGATGGAAGGTGATTATGTGAAAACCAGAAAGTGCAATTAAAAAGAAAATAACATATGTATTATGAAAAACACTGAAACAATAACAAAAAACCTGGTTTAGAGAAAAGGCTATGCAAGCCGCAATCAGTTTTCTTGATTCCTCCACCATACTTATATTAGTTTACTAGGGCTACGATGATAAAATACCACAAGCTGGGGGGGGGCATAAACAACAGAAACTTGTTTTCTCACTATCCTGGAGGCGGGAACATCAAGAGCAAGGTGTCTGCAGTGTTAGCTGCTCTTTTCTTCTGGGCTGGCAGGCAGGTGCCTTCTTGTTGTGTTCTCACATGGCCTTTTTGTGTGCACCATTTCCGGTATCTCTTAGAAGTACAGTAGTGTTATTGGATTAAGGCTCCATCCTTATGACTTGGCTTACCCTTAATTACCTCTTTAAAGGTCTTATCTTCAAGTACAGCAATATTAGAGTTAGGGCTTCAACACATAAATTGGGGTGGGAGGGAGCTGATACAACCCACTCCATAAACAATAGCCATTACAAACACAGCTATAATAGTGCAGTGGAGAGAAGCCAAAGTGAATCAAATAGCATAGACATGGTAGTTAGGAACATGCTACTGTAGCCAGAAGTTCAAATCCCAAGTTGACCACTTCTTAGTGAAGTTAACATTGTTCAAGTTTCTTTTTACTTCTTTTTTTATTTTTTTTTAAGGTTTTTGCCATAAGGCACATGTGCTTGGGGGAGAAGAGAGAGACAGAGAGAGGAAAAGTGAAAGATCACCCCCCACCATGGGGGATGGCCTCTGCCGCAATCCCTTCTCTTCCATTCTCCTCTCAGGAATTTGGACACATGGAAGCACTTGGTTGTGATTTTCAACCACCGGGCCTAGAACTCAAACCACCGTCAGTCATGTGGGAATCCAACTGTCTTAACCACCCTGCCACCTGCTGACCCGGTCAAATTTCTTAATATCACTGCATCATTCCTTACCTTGTAAACAAGGGCAATAATACTACCTTCCTTGGGGCCAGCAGGTGGCAGGGTGGCTCCCCGATGGACTCTCAAGTGACCAGCTGCAGTTTGAGTCTTGGACCTGGTGACCTGCAAATCATGCCAGGCACATGGGCATGCCCAAGATCCCAGGAGGAGAATGGAGGAGAAGGGATTGCAGTGTGGCCACCCCTTATCCCTCCACCCCCATCCTCTCCCCCCACCCAATTCCTCACTTTCCCTCTCACTGTCTCTCTGGGCAATCAAGGTGGGCCCGGTGACAGAAACCTTAAAATAACATAAAAAGGGACCAGCAGATGGTATACCAGTTTGGTTGCTGGATTCTCACATGGCAGACGGTGTTTTGAGTCCTGGGCCTGGTGGCTTGAACCTCACAACAGGGGTGTGTGTGCCCAAGATACTAGGAGAAGAATGGAAAGGGATTACTGCGGCCATTCCCCTGGGGGGTGATTTTCACTTTCCTTCTCACTGTCTCTGTTTCTCTCTCTTGCCAAGTGCCTTAAGGCAAAACCTCTAAAGTAATGATAATAATAATAATTAATTAATTAATTAAGAGAGTACATTCTTCCGGGCCAGCAGGTGGCATAGTGGTTCTTGTGGTGGACTCCCACATGGCCTACAGGGGTTTGAGTCCCAGACCCGGCGGCTTAAAACTCACCCATGGCACCTGTTCATGAGTTCCCAAATTTCCTAGAGGAGAATGGAGAAGGGACTGTGCAGTGGCCATCCACCTTGGAGGAGGCAGAGTGATTTCTCACTTTCTCTGTCTTTCTCTGTCTCTCCCAGTCAGTGTACCAGCCCTAAGACAAAACTAAAAAATAAATAAATAAATAAATAAATAAAAGTACCTTTGTCTGACGGTATTGTCAGCTGCTTGATATCTGGTAAGTTAGTAAATTTAAGTAATTGCTGGCTGTCGGCGGTAGCTGAGTGGTTTTAAAGATGATGTCAGTGCTCTTTGCGGTGCTCCTCTGTGTTCTCTAGCTAAAGCATCAGGAACTACTGTGAAAATAAAATGAGACAGAGAACGAGTACTTTAATTGAGAGGTATTAACACATACCAATGTTTCATTATAATAGTTCACTTTATATAATAGTTGTAGAGATGAGCATACTGCAGAGAAAGACACTTCAGAGTCCTAAATCTGTAGCTTCGTGTATTCTTCCTACCCGTCTTCGTGGAGCACGCGCACGTGTCGGGAGTCCTTGCAGGTGCTGCGGAGACAGCAGTGATGGAAGCCAGAGAGCGCTGTTCTCGGGAAGCTTCCGTTGTAGGAGGGACACACACGACTTCCACATCTAATACTGACTTCTAGAACCGCGGAAAATGAGCCTCACCAAATAGGAAAGGGGGGGGGGGAGGCCAGCGGGTACACAACGTCACGCAGCGAGTTAATACGAATGCGTGATGCCTGGCTAGATTCCAGTACACCAGCGCAGGACTAACTCTGGACGTGCTGGGTTTGCTGCCCTGATCCCCGACATGCCAGCCTTGACCCCAAACCCAGGGCCCAGCGCCGAGCGCTGCCCCGCCCCGCCTGCAGAGGCGCGGGAGGGAGCCCCGACGCCCCGGACGCCCATTTGGGCGGGCTGAGCCGTGGCCGCCAGCGTCTTACCGGCCGGGGTGAGCACTCAAGGGCACCGGTTTTTGAAGTCGCCTAGCGCACCTAGAGGCGGAGCGCCGCAGGGTCTGACCCTGCCCTACCGCAAGGAGCCGGGATTCGCGAGCCTCGGGTCCTGGCGCCGTGATCGCTATGAGTGTGAGTGACTTTGGCTTGAGCCGGGTGTCTCCCGGGCCACGTCACCCGTTTGACAGTTTTGCACCAAATTCCAAAGGGGGCGGCGCTCGCCCGGAGCGCAGAGCGTCACTCGGAGTTCCCAGAGATTAGAACTCGCCTCTCCTAGCTCCTCCCCTCAGTCCCATTTAAAGCTCCCACAGGCTTTACGGACAATTTTTAAGTGGGCTCAATTTCTGCAGCACCTTCTACCACTTCAAGATGGTAAGTGAGGAACTAGCCTTAGCTAGTCCAAGGGCAAAAGCTGGGGGCTCTGAAAGCTAAGAAGCTTTGCATTTAAATTTTTTTATTCCTTGGGAGCAAGATGTTTAGCTACCTGCCAGTTCAAATAGGTCCTCTTTGATGCCCTGTCTCCCTTTCATCATCCTCTGTTTTCTCCTGGCTTCCTCACTCCCTCTCGCTCTCTCATCCTCTATCTCTCTCATCTTTCCCCCTCTCTGTTATCTCTGCTGTCCACACTTTCTCCCCAACTTTCCATCTCTACCTGCACTCACCTTTCTTTCCACCTCTTCCTCTAGATTAGGCACATATTTGCAAATGCTTGGACTTGAGCTAGTCTAGGCAGATGTGGGGGGGGTGTTTTCTTCTCAGGTGTCAATTGCATAATAGCTTAGCTCCATTCTAATAATAACCTCAGAAAGTGTCTGCAAACATGCTTTTAGAATAAAAGAAAATAGCACTTGATAAACTGTTGGCTGTGCTTCCCCCGTCTGCACTGACCACGCTGGACAGAATGAGACTTTTTCAAACTTAACTTACCGGGAACATTAACAAAGTGGGGACTCAGTTGACTTAACTTTTTTCCCCCTTCTTTTTGTTTTCTCTTTGTTTATGTTATGCCCAAGAAAAGTCCTCAAGTCAACAAAAGACTTGTAGTGGTCAAAATAGAGTTTGTCCAAAGCTGAGCTCTGCTGAAATGAATGGCTTTTACCTGATTAAACATTGACAAATAATTAGGAATGGGCCGTTGTACAAATTAACCCAGGGAGGCTGCATACCTGCCCCGGCTTGGAAATTTGGAAAGGCTGTGTGTGTGAGGTTTAGGGGTGGGGGCCAGGAGGGTGTTCACTGAGTCAGAACACAGTGGAGACTTCATGCCAGGTAGCTGGTGGTGGCAAGATAACTTGGGAAGAGCATTGAGCCCTAGTGCTGGAAAGAACCAGAGCTTGCTGTCTGCTCCAACCAACTGCCTTTAGTTTAGACTGTTGGTTTACTTGGAGTGACTTGACGCTGCCGCGGTTGATGTTGACGATAAAAGTTAGTTACTTCTAGGACAATGTGAGACACAGAGAGGAAGAGAAACCAAATTCAGATCATTATAGCATCTAGCAGCGTGTTGGCTGGAGGAGGAAAGGAGAGAGGAGGCAACTCTACAGTTCAGAAACTAGAATAAGGAGGTTAGTCTACAAAACCGTGTTCTGTTCATTTCAGCCCTAGCATTCTAAGCTCTTTGTTTTCCACGTTCTGAGAAATAGAATTAAAACATTTGCTTGAGAGAACCAAGTAGTTCTTATGTCATTGAATTATCAAATAAAATTCCTTTTACTCAGATCTAGAGTAGCCTATTAGATGAACTTAGCATTGCAACAGAGAACAATCCTGGGAATTGACGAATTTAATCCATCCAATGTCGATCTGTTCTTTGCTCAGAAGACCTAAGGAAAATACTGGGTAAACCAAGGCACTGATTCCTTTTTAATAATTATTATTTGGCCACTCAAAATTTAGTGTGGATTTATACTTAACACCTTTTCTAGCTTTAGCTTCACTGTAAGTAATTTCTTTTCTCTCATCCCCTTTTCCCTCCAAATACTCATCACCCCATCTCCTGGGACCCCTAACCGCTACTCCTTGCACTGAATTTCACAGAACACCGTTCTGCCTTGCCAAGACCAGTACTTCGTAGGAGGCCAGAGCTGTAATTGCCCGTACTCCACTACAACATCAGAATCTAGTGTTGACGTTTCCACGGAGACTTGGGTCTCTCTCTGGGCTGCTGGTCTCCTGGACAACAGAGAGCCCCAACAAGCACCACAGGCACAGGGTAAGTTCTGCTCTTCTGCTTTCTTGATAGATCTGGAGCCCTTTTCTAGTGCTAAAGGCTGGAAAGCATCATGGGCTTGGTCTCTCTAAAATAAGCCATGATAGCAGCAATTTATGGAAGACCAAAGTCTCCTGAATTTTAAAGCCATGAGCTTGCTGTATTGTGCTTGCCAGATAGTGAAAATGGGATTTTCTTTCCCCCTTGCCCGATGTGTGTTTTCCTTTACACTTTATAGTTCTTGGAGACCCTCAAATAAGTGAGGGAATTAACTGGGACTAGATTTATAAACAACTGTCTAGCAGGATGCTTTGGGAATCAAGATATCAGTTGGAGCATTTTCTTTTTTTTAATTCAGGAAAGTTCACTTTAGTATGACAGAAAATCAAGAAGAACTACTAACTTTGATTTTTATACCATAGAGGAAATGCTATAGACACAGAATTTTGTCTTATTAGTGGAAAAATGACTCCCTTTTACACAAGAGACTTAAACTTTTGAGGGAATTATAACATTGATGGAATATTGCTTATTAAGGTTGATCTGGAGTTTCATGAACAATACTTACAACTATTAAAGGAAGTTCTGCTTTAACACTCAAGTTCTGGAGTGTTTTCTAGAAAAACTCTCAGATAACTCTGAATTAAATATTGTACTATTGGTTCTGCAATATAATTTTTATGATTTGAAGAAAAGACACAAACAAAAAACAAAAGCCTAAAGTATTGAAACACACTTAAGTGTTAGGGAGGAAGTTGTTCAGGTTTAGCTCTCTCTTAGAAACAGTAATAAAAACAGAATGCCTAGTCATGTGAACCCCAACTGTTTAAAAAATGTTTGTCTTGTGTCCTTATTCACCATTTCACTTTAATCAAAAATAGTTCAGTAACATCAGTTTAAGGAGATAAACTTATTATTTTTGACAGAGATATCACTTACTGTCAAATGTGGAAAAAGCAACAAACAAATAAACAAAAATACCTCTTTGGAAAAGCATTAAAAAATACAGATGAAAACAGCTTAAACAAGATACAAGTTCAGTTTTGAGATTTGTCAAGTTCTTCAGAGAAGCAAAGCTCAAATTATTTTTAAGTAGAAAGTGCTACCACACAGAATGTTGAGCAGTGGTCACTTCACAAAATCAGATTTTATTATAGAGCCAAATACTCTATTATCAAGTGCCAGAGCTTGGAAAGGAAAACGAAGCAGGACCAGCACAGTGAGGTTGCCAAGCTACACTTTTTAGAGAGGGGGCAGAGTCAGTAAATGTTTGAATGGATCAATGATGCAGACAGGACAAATTTAATAATTTAACAGCAGGGTTACATATATTAGGGAAGAATGTGACGCCCTTAGCTCTTAGAACATTCACCTCTTTAACCACTTTGGTATATGATATTCACCTCTCCCAGCTTGCTGTCCTGTTCGGTAAACTCTACATATTTTGTTTTCCTGTGTAGAAGCAATAATAACTATTTTGAAAATGTAGTTGAACCTATCCAACTTCCTGATGAGTTTATTACACACAACTGCAAGCGTGTTTTCTCTGCTAATCATTTGGTATTGCCGCACAGGATCATCCGGTGACTCGAATTTTCCTGTTCTGGACGCATGCTCATGGGAAGAAGCTCAACTCTTCTCTCAGCTCTACAGAAATAAGCAGGTAAGTGCAGGCTCTGCTGTCATTCCACCAAATGTCCCCACTGTCGCCTCGCTCCCTTCCCTTTTCATGTCATGTCAGCGTTCAGTTTGGAATCAGAGTGAGTGCTGTGTCTATAGAGAGGTGAAAGTGAGATGATCAAGGTCACAGAGAAGAAAAAAGAAAAGAAAGAAAACTGCCCTAACACTCTCGGAAGACCTGCACTCAAGCTCTGCATTTGCCCGTTTTAGCTGCATGGCCTTCTGAGGTCTCTTCTTTCTCATCATTGGAACATTTGTGCCACTTAACTCAGAAGGCCTTTGAGAAATTAAGCAATATAATGAGTATGGTTGTATTTTAAAATTATAAACCGAATTAACTACTGGGTAGGAGGATAATCGTAATGAAAGTTTTTTTCTAGGGACCAGCAGATGGCATAATAGCTATGTCACTCTCATGCAGTCGACCGTGGTTTGAGTCCCAGACCTGGTTACTTAAACTCATGCCAGGTGTATGTGTATGTGTGTGCCCAAGATCCCGAGAGGAGAATGGAGGAGAAGAGATTGCGGTGTGGCCATCCCCCCTGGGGGGGTGATTTCTCGCCTTCTGTCTCTCTGACTCTCTCTGACTTTCTGACAAGCACATGCACCCTATAGCAAAAACCTCTCCATAAAAAAGTGTTTGTTTTTTTTTTTTTTAACAAATTTTGCTTTATATTCCATATTTTGTTTATTGTTGCTCCTAAACAATAATTTAATCTAATGGATAGACAAACAAATCAGTTTGAGGCTGAGGGAAGTCAACTTACCTCTTTTCTGTTTTCTTTTTTTAAAATGTGCAAGAAGTTGAGCAAACCCTTTCTAAAATCTTCTGCTATATTTAAACACTTACATGTGGCTCATTTCCCTTCATGCTAACTAGGTTCCCTTGTAGTTCTGATTTAAAAAGTCATGTAACCTCTTCAAACATTTTAGAATGAATAAAAAATTCAGAGCAGAAAACTGAACAATCAGAATGTAGGGGCGTGTAGGTTTGATTTATCTCTCTGAGGCCAAGGGCTCCCTGAGGTTGTGTTCATAAAACAAACAGAAGAATAATCAGGTTTAAACAGTTTAAGGAGCGCTGCATTATTATAAGCTTACAAAGTCAATACGGTGGGCCAGCATTCACCATTGTCTGTTGTTTTCAGCTCCAAGATACTCTGGTGCAGAAGGAAGAAGAACTTGCTAGGTTACATGAGGAGAATAATCACCTCAGACAATACCTGAATTCTGCTTTGGTTAAATGTCTTGAAGAGAAGGCCAAGGTATGTAAGTAGCTCCATTATAAGGAAAGAGCAGAAATTTGAGGAAGGAGACCACTTGTGTAAAGCTCTTCGATTGAATGCAAGGAGTGTACTAAAAAAAAAATATGTCTTGATCTACATTCATGAATGGGTTCTTCCTAAGGAAATAGAGGCACGTTGACAAGAATTTCTCTGAAGTATCTAAATTGCAGGTTTTAGCCATACATTAGAAAAGGAGTTGCTTAATAATCAAAAGTTAGTCAAGAAAATTGCTGACACAAAAGAGCTTAATCAAAAGACAGTGTCAAAGGGATGGAACCAGATTGTGACTCAGATCTGAAAGATACTCAGCTTTTTAAGTGATCCATTAACCTTCAGGGAAATCATTCTCACTTAGGGCCTCAGTTACTTTCATCTGTAAATTGATTAGCTAGGAAAACTTTTAAGAATCTGTCTAGATCTAAAATGTTATAAATATAAGTAGGACTGGAGCCCAGATTTCCTGTTTGAGCTCAGATATACAATTACATTTTCTTTCATATATACTTGTTATTAATTTTTTAGTTTTTTGTTTGTTTGTCTGTTTGTTTTTGTCAGAGTGTGCATGCACTTGCTAGAGAGGCAGAGAAATAGATCGGGAATTCAGAAGTCACTACTCAGGGGGAATTGGCCACAGCATTCTCTTCACTCACCTTTAGGGATTTTGGCTATGTACACATATGTGCCTGGCATAATATTTAAACTTCTGGGCCTGGGACTTGAACTCTGGTTGACTACGTGGGAGTCCAGCATCTTAACCACCACGCCACTGGCTGGCCCCTACATTACCTTTTAATTCACATTTTTTCATACACTTTATTTTTGTAAGAGAGAGATTCTGCTATAGAGCACCTGCACTCACTGGAGAGACAGAGAAAGAGAGAGAGCGAGAAATTCCTCCCCCCACTCCTTCACAGAGGGATGGCTACACTGAGACTCCTCCTCCTCCATTTCCTTCCTGGGATTTTGGGCATACACATGCATGTATGAGTTTCAAACTCCCTGGTCTGGGACTCGGACCACTCAGTCACCCATAGGGGATCTAGTTTCCTACACCACCTGCTGGCCCCATCATACACTTTTAAAGTGTCTATTTGTAACTCAAGGGCATAGTCATTCTCCTTTATCTATGGTTTCTCTTTCTGTAGTTTCAATTACCTGTAGTCAACTGAGACCCCAAAATATGTGAGTACAGTAAATTAGATATTTTGAGAGAAATAAAAGAATGGGGACCACATTTATATAATGTTTATTACAGTATATTGTTATAATTGTTCTATTTCATTAGTAGTTACTGTTGTTAAACTCTCACGGTTCCTAATTTATAAATTAAACTTTATTGGGTTACATTATTGGACTCCCACATAGTCGACTGCAGTTCAAATCCCAGACCAATGGCGTGAAATTCACATTGGGCGTGTGTGCATGTGTGCCCAAAAATCCCAAGAAGAGAATGGAGAACAGATTGTGGCCTGGCCATCTACTCTGGGGGGTGATTTCTCACTTCCTGTCTCTCAGTCTATCTCTGTCTCTCCAGCAAGCACATGTGCCCTATAACAAAAATATCTCAAAAAATAATTTAAATTTTATTATAGGTACCAATGCATAGGGAAAAAACATAGTGTATGTAGGATGTGATCCTATCCAAGGAGTCAGATATCCACCTGAGTGTCTTGGAACATGTCCCCAGCAGGTACGGGGGACCTACCATAAAGACTAGGTTGTCAGGAAAGGGAGGATGTATTTTTCTATGTTTTTTATGCAAAAATAGGTCATGACTTTCCAGACAACCCAATAACTTGCTCTTAATCTCTTTTCATCCTTTCGCCTTTGTTTGCTTTTACAGTATTTTATCTGTTTGCCATTATGTTATCATTATTGCTTCTATATCAGTCTTTAGACAAGCTACTTCATTTGATATCATTGAATCTAACCAAAGCTGCTGATTAGATTCTTGCTACTCTTACCAAATAAAATCGTTAGAGAAGAAAAGACCTGAGCTCTGACTCCTTTACAATTCTGATAGTTTTGTTAAAAAAGGAGCATATCTTCTTTTTTTTTTTGGAGAGGTTTTTTGCTATAGGGCACGTGCCAGACAGACAGAGACAGAGAGACAGAAAGCAGGAAATCACCCCCCAGGGGGGATGGTCACGCTGCAATCCCTTCTCCTCCATTCTCCTCTCGAGATCTTGGGCACGCACGCACATGCGCCCAGTGTGAGTTTAAGCCACCGGGTCCAGGGCTCGAACCTCGGTCGACTATGTGGGAGTCTAGCGACATAGCCATTACGCTAACTGCTGGTCCCCAAAAAGGAACATATAGTCATTAGCCCAAGCTCCTTACTTTAATTTATAATATACATTATATTTAATAAAATACAGAAAGTATATTTATTCAATTAACAAGTGATATTAATTAGGCAGTATTCTCTCTGTTAGTCTCAGTTTTCTCAAGATCTTGAATAATGTAATAGTGTATCTAATGGGGGTGCTATGAAAGTTACTGAAATGAGGGTGAGCAGTGTTGTCACGTGCTTAAATCAGGATTCTGTCTAACTTTCAAAGGCTTGGTATTAAATCTAGGCTGCATGATGGTCACCGAGTCAATAGTACGTCTGTGCCTTCGTTTCTCATTAGTGAAGATTCTAATTTCATCTATATCCACTGAGATATGTTTGAACTCAATGATTTATAAGTTAGAACAAAGGAGTTTATTTTTCATAAATTATAGCTCAATAAATGATAGTTGCTATTATTGTTATTGCTATAGGGCACGTGCCAGACAGACAGAGACAGAGAGACAGAAAGCAGGAAATCACCCCCCAGGGGGGATGGTCACGCTGCAATCCCTTCTCCTCCATTCTCCTCTCGAGATCTTGGGCACGCACGCACATGCGCCCAGTGTGAGTTTAAGCCACCGGGTCCAGGGCTCGAACCTCGGTCGACTATGTGGGAGTCTAGCGACATAGCCATTACGCTAACTGCTGGTCCCCAAAAAGGAACATATAGTCATTAGCCCAAGCTCCTTACTTTAATTTATAATATACATTATATTTAATAAAATACAGAAAGTATATTTATTCAATTAACAAGTGATATTAATTAGGCAGTATTCTCTCTGTTAGTCTCAGTTTTCTCAAGATCTTGAATAATGTAATAGTGTATCTAATGGGGGTGCTATGAAAGTTACTGAAATGAGGGTGAGCAGTGTTGTCACGTGCTTAAATCAGGATTCTGTCTAACTTTCAAAGGCTTGGTATTAAATCTAGGCTGCATGATGGTCACCGAGTCAATAGTACGTCTGTGCCTTCGTTTCTCATTAGTGAAGATTCTAATTTCATCTATATCCACTGAGATATGTTTGAACTCAATGATTTATAAGTTAGAACAAAGGAGTTTATTTTTCATAAATTATAGCTCAATAAATGATAGTTGCTATTATTGTTATAATAACAACAACGATCGCTCTATAAAGTTGAAATCTTAAAGGCATAATCTACTCTGTACAACTTTTTTTTTTCTTTTTTTTTGGAGAGGTTTTTTTTGTTATGGGGCACATGCGCTCTCCAGACAGAGAGAGACAGAAAGCGAGAAATCACCCCCCAGGGGGGATGGCCACGCCACAATCCCTTCTCCTCCATTCTCCTCTCGGGATCTTGGGCATGCACGCACATGTGCCCGGCGTGAGTTTTAAGCCACCAGGTCCGGGACTCGAACTGTGGTCAACTATGTGGGAGTCCAGCGACATAGCCATTACGCTAACTGCTGGTCCCTGTACAACTTTTTAAAAAGTAAAAAATATAAATTAGATTTTTCAGGCAGTAGCTTGTCATCATAGGTTTTACCTTACAAGTAGAAGCAAATCGCATCAGTTTTCCTTGTGTGTGTAAACTGTAGAAATGTAGTCAATGTTTAAACATTTGTAGGAGGTGTAATTTTCAAACTTCACTTCCCTAGAAGTTGCTTTCCTCAAATGAGTTCTCCAAAGCATGTGGGAAATTCAGGAAGGGGAAGAGGAAACCCAGAGAGCAAAGGTCCTCTTCTGCTGAGATTCCCCATCCCAAAAACGTCAAGCGAAACCTTGCTCCTGAGTTTGCTAGCTGTGAAGAGCAACCTGGGCCCCCTGTGGACCCCTGGGTCCTTCAAACTCTCGGCTTAAAAGACCTCAACACGATTGATGACAGCTTGCCAGCTAACTACAGTGCCCTCTCCTCTCATCCCGGAAGAGTCACCAGCACATTTTTCCAGTTTCTGAATGAGGCAGGTGACGGTGAAAGTGTTCGCAGAGAGGATCTGCTGACTGACGGTGGGGGTGACAGGAAAATCCCCTTGCACAGCACTGCCAGCCATGGGGAGGATTTTCACTTCCTTTCTCAACGTCCAAATCCCCCCGTGGGGCTGCAAACTCCTCCTTACTATACGGCTGATGTGTCACCCAATAAGACAGAGATGGCCTTTTCCACCTCCCTGAGCCCTCACTGTAATGTGAAAACTCATTCCTTCCACCAAGGACAAGCCTTTGTACGTAGAGATGAGGAGGGAGGCTGGAAGTTTACCTGGGTCCCTAAGCAGTCTTAGTGACCCTTCTTCGATCACAAAGCACTGCCATGAACTCTGTTTACAAAGGCATCTCTTGCACTTGAACCTATGTGGGACAGAGTCTATTGCTCGGACTGTTTCCTGCCACTTTAAATGTCACAGTTGCTTACCTTCGTAAGTCTGCAGGGAATGGCTTCCAAGTGTCCATAATGAAACGTGCCTGTGCTTCTTTCACCTAAATTTGGTTTGTTTACACACCAACTTCCAGCTGTTGACTTCCCATCTTTGTCCTATACTTGAAGAGGTATTTCTGATCATCTGTATATTTGTTCCTTCAAGACCTAGGTATACTTTTCTGGTTATATAGTACATTTAACAGCTTCTCTTCTTTAAATGTTCACAGTGTGTTCACTCTTTTGTCTTCCCTGATCTTTGTTCCTGAAAACTGCCTTTAGAATGAGCCATGTTGCTTCAAGCATGTGTTCCTAGTGTTCACATAGCCGTGTGTGGTAGAAACACTGTTTTAACCCAACACCACTACTGAAGACATAATTTGGATGTGAGCAATGTTATACCCAGGGCAGTTCAAAAACTTGAGTATGCCATTGTGGCATTGGAGAAGACTCTTAAATTAACCGTAACTCTACTGATAAACAGTGCCACTGAATTAGCTTTAAAAAGTAAAGAGAAAGTAAAGAGAATTAAAGTTCCTTCAACACGCCTTTAGTATATCAACCTCTATTGATATATCACATTGTGTCTTGGTTTCTTTTTTTGGAGAGGTTTTTGCTATAGGGCATGTACGCTCACCAGAAAGACATAGAGAGACAGAGACAGAAAGCGAGAAATCACCCTCCAGGAGGGATGGCCATGCCACAATCCCATCTCCTCTATTCTCCTCTCCGGATCTTGGGCACTCACGCACATGTGCCGGTGTGAGTTTAAGCCACCGGGCCCAGGACTCGAACCATGGTTAGCTAAATAAGAGTCCAGCAACATAGCCATTATGCCAACTGCTGGTCCCAACTGTTTCATTTGTTTTTGTTTTGGTTTGGTTTTTTGTTTTTGAGAGGTTTTTGCTATAGAGCGTGTGCGCTCGCCAGAAAGACAGAGAGAGATAGAGAGACAGAAAGTGAGAAATCACCCTCCAGGGGGGATGGCCATGCCGCAATCCCTTCTCCTCCATTTTCCTCTCGGGATCTTAGGCACGCATACATACGTGCCCGGCATGAGTTTAATCCACTGGGTCTGGAACTCGAACTGTGGTTGACTACATGGGAGTCCATTGACTTAGCCATTATGCTAACTGCTGGTCCTCTGACTTTTTCTTAACCAATATGGCTCACGTTAAAGTTTTGAAGCACTGTTGTAACAACACAAGTCATCACTGTAAACTACTCAGATACGGACAGATTCCTATTCCTGAAAGTATAGTTTTCTAGACCGGCCACTGTCTCAGTTACTTATTCACTGGTTCACTTTTTCAGGTGTTAATTCTTTCATTCATCGGTCTACCCAGAATATTTGTAGAATGCCTGATATCTACTCTGTACCAGGCCCCTTACTACAGTGTGGTGATAAAATGTAAGCAGTCTAGACACTGTGGCAACCCTCAGGAGATCTAGGCCACTCATCTGTTGTCTCGAGGAAGCTGCTATTCTTGTGTGAAGGTTCCTTTTCCCAACTACACAAAACAGAAACTAGACCAGATAACATCTATTAACATTCTGTGAATCGAGGCTGAGTTTTGTGAGCTCTATGCCAACATGGCCACCCCAGGACACTGCTAATTTTAGTTTTGATGGGCACAGCAGGTATTTTGTAGGGTGAACTTCATATAAAATTAAAGAAAAATTTGAAATGAATATGAGCCATTTGTAGATAACATTATAAATCATTGCTCTGATCACAGTATTCTTCTTCTAGCATGAACCCATTTTGCAAGTTAATTCAGTCTGTGTGAGAATGATTTGCATCTAAAATAGATACATATTAATTTTAAGTAAGTGTAAATAGATCAAATGAAAATGCATCAAGAATATCTCTCTAAATTTTTTAACTGTATTTTTAGTGATCATACCAGTTTCCATCTTTCTCATCCCCCTTGCTCCCTATTCCCCCAGAATACTCTGTACATCAGGTGGTTTCTGCACACACCTGAGTTAATGATGAAATTCACCATGTTGAACCTATTCCCGTTCTTTTCCTCTTTAACCTCTCAATATCCCACCTTGCATAATCAATGTTTTCAAGTTTATTTCAGCTCTCTTTTCTATGAAAAAGAGAGAGAGAGAAGAAGAGAAAGAGAAAAAGATCACCTCCAACAGAGTTCTCATAGCATGACCCATTGTGAACTTGAGCCAGCCAGGATCGTGGGCACCTACCTGGTATGCACAGAGAGAGCTCAGGTGTGAACCTAGGACCGTCCCACATGACTCTGACATTGTGGAGCCTTGTGTTCCTGCTGTACCACTGCCCCCGGCCTATTCAGAATTCCTTATAACAAAGACGTGCCTTTTGTTCTTTGGTGGTTGTTTTATTTTGGTGATGTGAGCAAAGAATCTGTTTTATAGAATTGTGGTACCCAGTTTTTTCTATAATTGATGAGGGGGAAATCAAAGAGTAATTAGTATGATTCTTTAGAGTATTGCCATGACTTAGGAAGAGATATAGTGCATTTTAGTTTCCGGGAGAGAGAGAGAGAGAGAAGAGAGAGGAAAAGAGAAGAAAAGAAAGAAAAAGGGAAAAAGTGCCCTTTATGTTCTAGTATCTGTGCCCCTGATGGGTGAAATGTCTCTCTTTTTTAGAATAACAAATTTAAGAATTATAATTGATTGTACTTTAATATAGCACAAAATTGAAAAAGCAATATAGTTATTTTTGAAGTCTTATCATCCATCTGTAAAACAAAGCTGTTCAGTTAACAAATGTTTCTTTTCCATCCTTTATTGCCTTACCATGTGTTAAGTACCATGAGGAACCACACCGGCTTAGAACAGTGCTTTTGGTACATATCCCAAAGCCACAGAAAACGTCCTCGGTTTTGACCGTTTTAAGTGAAACTTGGTCTCAGCTGGATTAAAGAAAGTACAGCACAGTTGTAAACGATAGCGTATTCTGATGTATACATGACCGGTAGCATAGAAGAAAGTTGCCACATAGTCTAACAATTAGGTCTACAGACCTGTGATAGTCATTGAAATTATGTGTAGAAAATTAATTTGTTGATGTTGGAGAAATTGGAAATTTCTGTCATCTGGGTGTATATTCTAACTTTTATGGTTTTATATGTCTGTCTAGTAAGATACTAGTTAATGCATTATTAAGGAAGAAAATCACAACTGAATACTTTTTAAATGTGATGAAAATTTTTATATTGTGTGTAACATTTTCCAACAATAGACTTTTTCCTCCTGGTTTGTAACCATAATCCTATTTATTTGCACCCCTTTTGTATGCTGTATATTGTAGACTAATATTTTCAGCATTTAGAGCTTCATGGTCTGTCCCTTCTCTAGGATACACTAATGAGGTCTCAGATGTTAAATAGCTTAGAGTTCAGTGTCTTTTGGGCACATTATTCTCTTACCCTAGCTCAAACAAAACCTAGAATCCACTATCAATTCTTAAAATTTGATGACACTTCCAGTGTTATCCTCCAAATATCTGAAAATAAATCATCACTGTATTTTGCTAGATTCTGGAAAATAAGGATAATGGAAAGCCTCAGTCATCCAGGTGGCATTTAATGAAAAAATAATGAAATTACTTCAGATGGGAATGATTTTAAACTATGATTTTGAAAAATTTGAAAAGAAATAATTTAAAAAATAGAATTTCTTTATCTAATTCAAGAAAATACGTTTTTAAAAAAGTTGACAAATACATCCAACAGCTGACCTGTATATTACAACTACAGAGGAATTTATAGAGTTAATACAGTTAGTGACAGATTGTTGGTAAGTACTATCTTCTTACCTATATTGTAATACACCATTATGTATTTGTTTCAGTTTACCAAAAGATTCACATAAGGCTAAATCAAACTGGTTAAATCAAATTGGTTAATGAACTACAAGTACATGGTATATTTTCTAACATTTCTGATATTTTAATTTACCTTTTAAATTAAATGAACATAACCAGACATCCCATCTTATATTGGATATCCTACAAATATAAAATAAAATATAGCACTTAATATTTTAAGTGATATAATTACTTGGTGATTTGAAATGTTTTAATTATTTGTAAGAGTCAGTTTGCTAATGGATTTACAGCAAATAAATAAATGATAAAAATGTATTTAATTCTACTTTTGGCCCTTATTTTACAATTTTCAGTGACTGGAGTAATGGACTAAAAAATGTTTTTTGTACCTATCAATATTTCTTCTATAAATTTCATCTCATAGAAACAAATATGAACCTCAACTTCCAGATATATGAAATAGTAGTATTAGTAAAAACTGAGCTACTTAACAGATACAAACTGTCATGTTCTATCAAGTATATACAAAAATGGAAAATCAAATTAGGTATCAATTATGGAAAACAATATAGATATGCTTAATCAAAGCAAGAGAATAATTGGCTCATTTAAAGTTTATGTTTCAAGTATGGCCAGATGTTTTAATACATGCTCAAGTTACGTCAAAAATCTGCTTGGGATTTCAAGTAAATCTGTCATTAGAAATGGTTTCTTTAATAGTGTGAAGGGTACATACCATATAAAAAAAGGATTACAGGGGCCAGCAGTTAGCGTAATGGCTATGTTGCCGGACTCCCATGTAATCGACCACGGTTCACATCCCAGACCCGGTGGCTTAAAACTCACGCCGGGCGCGTGTGCATGCGTGCCCAAGATCCCAAGAGGAGAATGGAGGAGAAGGGATTGCGGCGTGGCCATCCCCCATGGGGGCTGATTTCTCGCTTTCTGTCTCTCCGTCTCTTCTGTCTGGCGAGCGCACATATAGCAAAAACCTCTAAAATAAAAAGCATTACAGAAAACAGAATGGAGCAAGCTCTGTGAGCTTGAAGAGCAAGCCACATCTTATAAAATATTCTCTGGTTCTGTGACACTGTTCTTCTTCCTGTTAATCATCACCCCAGACTGAAGAAAGCCTGTGAAATGTTCTAGACTGGTGTGAGATACGTCATGTAAAATGAAAAAACTGAGGTATCTGCTTATGGAAACTATGAGCACGAGTCCCCTGAAGCCATTATATATAGGCCATATATCTCTAAAGAGAAAAAAGGGACATAGGACTTGCATATCAGGCCAGCAACCCACCTTATAGGAGATTGTCTCGTTACCGATCACAGGTAATCTATTATTTAGTTTCCTTACAAAGATAGTTGCTTGTTTATTTTATTGGATAAAATTGACTAAACTTCACTCACTCTAAATTACCCTCAAATATGGATGTAATTAGTAAAAGTGATTGGAAACATCCGAACTTGGGTATCTCAATTTTCTTTTTTTCAAAAGTTTTTTTTTGCCATAAGGCATGTATGCTCACCAGAGAGAGGTGACATGAAAAAAAAAATACTCTGCAGGAAGGATGGTCATGACACAATCTTTTCTCCCATGTTCTCCACTTGGGATTTGGGGCATGCACACACACATGTATGCCTGGCATGATTTTAAAGCCACCGGGTCTGGGACTTGAACCTCAGTTGGCCATGTTGAAATCCAGTGTCTTAACCACCATGCCATCTACTGGCCCCTCAATTTCCATTTTATAGATGAGAAAACTGGCTCTGAGTGTTACATACATAAGTAGGTGAGGCCCAGGAAATATCCTG